GGGGACATTTAGGATTTAGGAAAGATCAAACCAAAATAGGAAACATTGGCTTAACTTTCCTACTTAAAGTAGGAATCCTCATCTTTAGGTCTTCAATTTCGTCCATTCCTTTAGTTCCAAGCATGTGATATTTATTCCAAGCCCAAAATTGCTCCAAAAGGCTCCAAAATGCACATTTTTGCATACTTTGTCCTTAGAACCTAAAATTGCACAAAAATGACTTTAAACACTAAAACTACTAAGGAATAACAACATAAATGCATGAGAACAAGCTAACTCAATCGCATAAATATGCTCCTATTAGTTAACTATTACAACTTTTCATTAATGGATAAAAAGTTAGAACAACTTTTCATTAAACCTCAAAAGGTGTTCTGTTTTATAGCAAGAAAATGTGGCTCTTTTCTTTTAGGATGTTATTAGTGTGTTCAATTGATTTTTTATTCTTATGGTTTTCTTGGTCCTCGGCCTAATTGTTCTACTTGTTTTGTATTGTCTTTGTTTCTATTAAAGGTTCTTGTATCATATGTAAAATAAATTTTGCATTAATGATGTTTTAGGTGAACAGAAAAAAAAAAGTTCAAAGACCCGTAGGAAGAATTCTGATAAATTGCAAGAGCAACTTGGTGGTTTGAAAATGCCAATTACTTTGACAAAACTAAAAGGGAAGCCCACAGGTCCGAATTCCTCATTTCTTGTGAATGATATTGGTTTTGTGGTTCGAACCTATGCACCACTAAATGTGAAGCAATGGAGGAATGTAGAAAAGAAGGATGTGGATAAGATGATTGAAAGAATAAATGTGAGTAATATTTTCATTTCACATTTTTGTTACATTCAGTATGTAAAAGTCTTTCTTAAATTAGATTTATTATAAATTGAATTCCATGCAGAGCAAGTACGATATTGATATGTCACTAACTCATGTTAGTATATATATTAAGAATGCATTACAAAGGTGGTTTGTTGATTTTCGACACAAGCTGAAGAAGCATTTTGATTCATTCCCAACTCTAGAAGAAGCAAAACAAAACAAACATGAGGATGTAACTAGTCAAGAGGAATGGAATTTTCTTTGTGATCATTATGCAAGTGATCAATTCAAGGTACACGTGTATATTAATGAACTGAATTGCAGTTGTCATGTATGCTATTTATCTTCTTCACGTCACCAAATTTATTTTGCTATGCAGGAACGCTCAAATAAAAATGCAATTAATAGGTCTCATTTGACTTACAATCATAAGGGAGGGTCAAAATCTTTTAGGGCCCATGAAGAAGATATTGTAAGATGTGTTTTTCATAATTTTAATCTATATTCTAGGTGGATAATGAGTTATTAACTTTAATTTGTGATTCATGTATTAGGAAGCCAAAACCAGAGAACAACTAAGTGCAATTGATTACTTTGAGGTTGTGCATAAAAACACCAAAAATGGTTGGGATGAAGGAGCTAAACTGAAGTGGGTAAGTTAGTTATGTACATGTTGGTTGTGTATATTCTAGTCCTGCTATGTCAATGTATATGTTTGTATTCAATGTTTATGTGTATGTCATTATATAACATATAAACTTTTGAAAGCGTGTATCGTTTCTTGCTTATTTCTCCTACATAAAAGAGTCTTGCCACTTATAAGACGTGTAAGTATAAATGTGTTGTCCATGACTTGTGGTGTTCAATGTCCCCTGTCACTTTTCTGTCATTCCTTGGACTCAAGTTTGGCACACTAAGGTTTTTGCTTGGGGAAAAAAATATAATTGTTTGACAATTACCTCTTATTTAGCTCAAGAGCTTACATGTATTTCGAGGCTTGATAAGTTGCAGGGCTTTTTTTTTGTTCTTGTATGAGTTTGATAATGTCATTATGTTGATAAAGGTGTATTATTGATCATAAGCAATTATAATTATAGACAAGTCATTTGCGACTAAATTGAGATAGAAGAATATGTGAAGCTTTTATGTTTATGATATATATACGAAGGAACCAAATGTGATAGATTTTAGGGATACTTTGGATGCGGTCCCTAATCCTTAACATTATTTGACTAAAACCTTAATGATATTCAAAGTTTGATCAAAGTCCCTTGACTTTGTACACCTCATTATATTAAAATTAATATTTATAGTTTTATAGTTTTGACATTAATTGTTTGATATTTTATGAGATTTATAAGCCTATAAATTTAAAATCCCTCATTATTATACTATTAGAAACTGTTACAATAAAAAAATTCAAACATTTTGATTGAATAAATGGATAAAAAATATGTAAAAATAAGAAATAATAAATGGCAAAAGAATGTATCCATAGTGTTAAAAAAATTGGTACATTTTACAAAAAAATTGGTACATTTCACATATAACAAAGTGGTACATTAATAAAGAAGAATGGGTACATTATAAATAAATTAGGGTACAGATGAAAGATTAAAAAAATTATGAGTACAAATGATTTTTTAAAAAATATAGGCGCTAAAAGAAATTAATACATGGGTACAAAATAAAACTAAAAAGAAAATACTACAAATTTAAAAAAATGTTGCAAATTAAAAGTGGGTACAAAATAAAAATATAAATATATGATACAAAGTTTAGGCATAAAACATAAATATACCATATGTAATTTTTTCATCATTGATTAAATATACAATATCACGTGACGGTATATACATGGGTACAAACACAAATTAAACTTTAAAAAATATGGGCACAAAAAGAAGCTAATATATGGGTACAAATTACAAATTAAAAAAAAATTGGTACAAATTAAAAATAGGTACAAACTAAAAATAAAAATATATGATAAAAAATTTAGCCATAAATATAAATATACTAATTGTAACATTTTTAACACTTACGGAATATATTTAAAAATACAAATATTTTATTATTCAAATAATTAATGATGCTATTAATATCCAAGGACCTTGATCAAAAATTAGAAATGAATAGGATTTTAATCAATGGAGTAGCAAAAAAAAGGATGTGAACCTAATTTCTCCTAGATTTTATGTTTGTGTACATGAAGGAGCTAAGCATGATAGTTTATTTTTCATTTGTAGGAAGAGATGCCAAGTATGAAAAACGAAACAACTCTTCCAGAGGGTACGGTGACATTGACAGATGATGAAATTGTTCTAGGGGTTCTTGCTCACAAGTTTGGGTACTTCAAAGGTCCTTCAAAGTCTATCTCTCATGAAGACACTATGTTGGACAAACATTTAAAAGAAAAACTTGAGACTCAATAGCAAGAGCTTGTTGAAACAAAACAAGAGCTTGTTGAAACAAAACAAGAGCTTGGTGAAGCAAAACAAGCGATCCAAGAATTGAAGGAGAACCAAAAGAAATTTAAGGAACTCCTACACAAAATAATGGAAGGGCAACAACCACCTCCATAAGTAGTCCTTTTGTTTTGCTCGAATATGTGAACTTTTTGTGAAAACAATGTGAACTTTCATAGTGTTAACATTAAGCATAACTAATTTTGTAGACTATGAATTATCATTGTAAGCTATTTTGGTTTTGGACTAATATTAATGAACTTTTAGTACCTTTGATCATTAATTCTTGGCACTAAATTAATTCAAGTTACAGGGAGAAACCAACTTCTCGTGGTAGGTTACTCATGAGAATAATTATCATTAACTTACAGCAAGGAATTTTACCTTCGTTTAAGTTCTCGCTATAGACTTGTTACAACGAGGAAACGAGTGTCTCATAGATACTTATCAACGAGGAAATTCATTCTCGCAACATATGATCTGCAGCGAGAAATAATATGTTCATCGCAGAAAACTCACCTACAAATTCCTCGCCAAAAGATATTTACAGCGAGGAATTTGATCATTTTTGCGAGGAATTTTATCCTCGCATAAGTTATGGAATGTCAATATTCAAGTTGTCAAAAGGTTTTGGCGACCACATTCCAACCCCTTTAGCGAGGAATTTGTCACCGCTCAAACTCAACTACAAGAAAACGTTCCACTCTCGCTATTCATTTATGTGAGGAAATAATTCCTCGCTGTACACATTTCCCGACGGGCCTACTACGAGGAACGAGCGAGGAATTTTTTTCCTCGCTGAAAACCTTCAACGATAAAACAGCCGCTTTCAACAAGGACAAAAGTCCTCGCCAAACAGCTATTTTGTTGTGGTGATATCATTTTTAGTCATTAATATATTCATATAAAAGTTACCAAATACTCCAAGCAGTGTTTTTTTTTTTTTTTGTTAAAAGCACTTTTACAAAAAATGTTTACCAAGCACTCAACAATTTTATTTTATAGTTGTTTGTTCTCACAACATAACATAAGGAATTTTTTTTTAAAACACGGCAATACCAAACTAACCTAAACTCATATCTATATAAGTACTTATGTCAGAAGAATTATTATTGAAACTATCATGAGATCATTTCTTTCTTTCCAATAAACGCCATAAATAAAATAAATTTAATTGACGTGCATGGCTAACAACAGAACAAGGTTTTGTGATTTCGGTTGAAAATATGAATACCACATCCAATAAAAGAAACCTCGTATGTACTTGAGCCCCTACTTTTATAGCCAATTAGTTTTATAATGGAACCTCGATTTTTTACAATTTCACAATTGCTCTTAAAAAGAAATCTTAACCCCAAATGAATGGCGAACAGATCAGTAAAATCCATGACTGATAATTCAGAACTATATTAGATGGTGAAGGCTCAACAAAATTTTGGAGTAAAAGAAACAATAGTATTATTTTCATTACCTTAATAGAATAGGAGGCCTAACAAACCAGGTATCCAAGCCCATGTTTATTATTAATCTCCAATGCATTGAGAAATTTTTATGTGTAATCAGAACACAAGCTAGTATAACACGTGTTATAATATAAGTGAACGATACATCGCATTCTAAAGTATATTTTCTGCTGTCCCTCTATTTAATATACCGCTTTGTGTTCCAGATGCACATAAAATTTTATCCAATGCATGCAGTTAAAGACACAGCAACAGCTAAGTACACATGCATACACAACCAGAGTGTAGCAAGTTAGGGATAACACAAGGGCGATCGTTTGGAATCCATAACCCCAAAACAATATAAAAATACCAAAACAAAACAAAACAAAAACCAGAACTGAAAACAAAAGCAAAAACGAGAGCTCATGAGCCTATTACGAGTTAATATACTACCAGAAGAAGTTGTTTAGGTGAGACGGAGATCGTGAATCTTGATCCTCAAGATCATGAGATGGAGAATGCACGTGTCTCCCTTCATATGTTGTGATCACCATTCTCGGGTCCTCGGCTAATCGCTCTACTCGTTTCTTTACGCGGCAGTTATCCATCGTACAACGATAATAACTCCTGCAATTTGATAAAACAGAAACGTACGTTAGTTCAGTAACAAGAAACAGTAAAGGCTGTGTATTTTTTGTTTTTCTGGAATTCAAAAAAGATGAGGATTCATCAAGCTTGTGAAAATATAAAAAGAGGATTGTAAGCTTATACGAAGTGAAATGCAATTACGAAACCAAGTAAAATTCTCATAATAATTAGTGCTAAAGACTAATTGCACTTAGTTTAGAATTAGTTTCCATATCAACATTATAAAACATTATATCAAAACATAAACTGACAAAGAATTCATAAGAATCCTACTTTTGACACTGTCCTTGGAATTTCTCTTAAAATTTTCAGAGCTTATAACAAACAATTTTGGGAATGAAATCATAAGAGGACCTACTTGTGGGACCTATTCAACCTCGAAATTCCAAGTCAAAATATGATTCCTGGATACTTTAGCAAAATAAAAAGGATTTCCCTTTAATTAAATAGATGAAACACACTCACATGTTTGCTTATAATTCAATTTGTTGACTAGAGGATTCTACAAACTCTTAATTTTTCTTCCCTACAAACTACTCCTCACAAAATTTTGATCTACTCTTTGATTGATCTCCTACGGAAAGTCAATCTAATCAATGGTATATTGGTAATAACTAGTAACCACACCTTTGCAAGGCCAACTTCACATTGTATATAAAAAGGATAATACTTGAGTACTGACCAATAATCAATATCCAAATATATTGACTTTTTATATAGTCCAATAATACACGTAGTATAAAACTCTCTTCCTACTATCTCCCACCTCTTACTATTCGTGAAAAATTGGACGGTTTAAGTTACGAAGCTAATGGTTTGACTCCGATCCCGTCATCGAGTTCGCTACCAAATTTTCTTTTATTCTTTTTTTTTTTTTCCAAACTGCTCCATCTAACTTAACACACCCAAACTCTTATGGAACAGTTTAAATGCTTATGACAGACCATTTCAGAGGTGGATGTATTGACTCAATTATCCATCAACACTATAAAGTCCTAGTCAAGTTCATCTTGGGGTAGGTGTTTTTGATATTTTGCAAGATATTATAAATATATGTCAATCATAATTCCTACTTTTGACATTGTATACATTTCTTTTCCGAAAAATGACATTGTATACAATATAATTGAACACCCCAATTAATCATTTCTGAAGAAAACAGGAGACCATACAATTCAACAAATGAGGCCTATCACATATGATTATGCATGCTATATATACAGACACATTCAAGGTTCAAATCATTTCTGTAGAATTTTGCTGCGCTTAATTTCAACTCCCATGGTGACAAAGTGGAGGAAGAATGTCAATGCAAATATAAAAAGAATAAAAATAAACTGCTTCAGAAATGTCATATATTATATGTAATTAAGTTAATATTTTCTTGTCTAATAATTAAACAAGTCATAGAAGTTTGACAGACTGAATTGTGCAATGCACAGATTTAAACAAGATTATACCTAACCAAGATCAACAGTCTCGACTGACACTGGCTGGCGAAATTTATAAATATACATATATATATATTGACATCTGAATCTGCAGAGAATTAGTACAATGTGTGTACCCAGGCATGCCCTAGAGTCATGCAAAGTTTCCTAAATTCCGGTATAACTTATGCCCATTCGGTAATTTTTTTTTTCAAAGAAAGTTGAAGTTTCATTATAAAACCATTAACAATACAGAAAGTAGCCTAACTTATAAGCTTATGCAAGGTCATTTCCCCTATTAAGTGGGATTCATTCTCAACACGTCATCTCATATGTGGCTAATTTTCAAGTCAAACATGTGGACAACACAAACAAGGTGACGTGGAGTGTGTGTGGCCATTGGCTTCACACGTGAGACAACCGGCTCTGATATCATAAGAAAGTTAAGGTTTCACCATAAAACCAATTTGAGAATATGAATTAATTTCATCATTATTAGTTGTTAATTCTTGTGATTAAACATGGTCACTAAAGTGGTGAAGCTCCACTTATGTATATACTAGCTAGTACTTCACCTAAGGTAGTGATGATGATTCGTAATCTTGTTCTTACTAACAGCTTTCTTCAATGGAATCTAATTTTTGGAAGGTACATTAATTCAATATGTGATGAAAATGTGATTAAGAAATATTATCCAACCCCTTAATTATTCTGCTTTGGCATATATATGATGATTAACTGGTAACCCTTGTATAATTGATCAATCCTTGCAAACTAAATGAATTTTATAACATATGAATTTCATCGTTGAAGAGTAGTAATAATTATAGTTCTTTTTTAGAAATTGCTTTTGCTATTGCTACAATAACCATCAAATCTGCAGCGCCAAGCCTAGCCTGCAAAAGCCTAATGATGACAGACAATGATACCAATGACAATAATAAAAGAGAGAAAGAAGGAAAGAGAGAAAAAGGAGAAAAAAAAGGAACACATCATGTCTAATGGGTACAAGTAGTAGAGAGCTAATATATCGAATGAGACGTGCAAATAAAAAAAATAATTGGAGTGATTATAGCAAAAAAATGGAAGGAAAAGGGAGGGAAAATGATCAGTACAATCTGAATTTTGATGCAATTATACCTTGGATGCTGTGTGTTCTTTACCACTTTCTGTCCGTACTTTCTCCACTTGTAACCATCATCAAGCACATCCACATCGCTCAGGGTTTTGAAGCAAAACCTAGGCTCCCTCACCTTCCTCCTAATTGCCTTCATCTTCTTCATCTTCATTGCTGAAACCCCTCCTAAATAAGGATGATGTTGGTCGTCTCCGCCGCTTGATCTCTTGCTGTTCAGGCAATACTCATCACGATCATCACTCACGTCTCCCCATGCCCTAGAATATATATAAACACGCAGATAAATGATTTCGGTATATATTTACATGATTAATAGTGTTGATGTTATGTAAAAGTATAATTAAAAGGAGACATTCGAGAAGACTGCATGGTTAATATATATAATTAATATTATTTTACCAGAGATTTGCGGTGGATCTTTGCAAAGAAAGGAGATGGGCATGGGCTCCTCCTCCTCCACCGCCAAATTCAGAACTAGTAGTAGTGATGTTATGATCTTGTTTATGCCTTAGAGGGGAAGGAGTAAGTGATGGCCGGGGGACTAAGGTTTCAGAGAGAGTGGTGGTTGAAGGTGCATCATCAGAAGCTATGCTAGCCGTACTGAAGCCGCCTTTGAGAGATTGGTGACCTAAAAACGGCAACGACGAAAAGGTCAAGTTTGGTGGGAAATGAAAGAAACCCATCTGTGTATTACAACCCTCTCCCTCTTGATTCTCAAACAAACCCAGCTGCTGCTGCTGCTGGTTGAGAATGGCTGCCTGGGACGTTCTAGATGCCATCTCTCTCTCACTTGTACGGTGTAGACAATCGAAGAGAAGGATTAAGGAAATCTATCTAGGAAGAAACATACGCAGAGTAGATTAAAAGCACCAGGGTCTCTCTCAAACTTCAAGGATATATAGATTGAAAAAAGAAAGGGAAATATGATTGGAGGAAATAACGAAATATCTATAAATAACACATGACTACCACTTTCCCTTGTTACTTGTCCTCTTTTTTTTTTTTTTTTTTTAACAAACTTGTCCCCTTTTTATAAAAAATAATAAGCACTCTCTTTTGTTCACACGCTTCTGTTTAATTATGATCGTTGTTTTTGTCTGTTTTATTTAATTCGATTACCAAAATAAAAAATTAGTGAAAATATTCTCTCCTTTTTTTCCCATGAAGGTTTATTGGCCCACCCATATTTTGATGAATACACACATATAACAATTTATAATTATCTTAGGGTAAATATCAATTTACTACTTTTAAGTTTCGTGGTTTTCAACATTTGATACATGAAGTTTTTTTCGTCTCAGAGTCATGCTTAAAGTGTTAATTTTGGGACAATCTCATACATCCATTAGTCAAACTATTAAGTCTGCTGTTAACTGATGACGTAGCGCTCATGTGGACAATAACTAGACATCACATGTCAATATGGACCCATGTGAATATTAAAAAATTAAAAAATTTATAAAAATAAAAAATAAAAATAAAAAGTTATGGGCTTTCACCCCTCCCTCCTTCTCCCTCCCTTCTCTTCCCTGCACCCATCCTCCCCGCATACCCACCCATTCCCCTCCTTATCCCACCCCTCACCCACCCACATTTGCCCTTTTTGTTTTAACTTCTCAATTGTTAAATTTTGTGTTTGTTTTCTGGGAAATTGTGGGAAATTGAAGATTCCTGGACTTGTTTGGTGGATTTGGCTTCGTGGGTTTGTTACAAAATGATCAAATTTTGTTTAATTTTATTATGACTTTGTAATTTGGAAGCTTTATTGTGCATATTCACCGAAACTTGTTTTTCGAAGGTTTGTGTGCTTCTGCTGCTCTACTGTTTCCTGGAGAAAATAGGCTCAAACAAGAGCTTGCACCAGATCAGGTTTTCCGATCTGGGTTCGCAATACGAGCAGCGGTTGTGGAGAGAGAAGGGAGGGAGGGTTGGGTGGGTAGGAGGGATGGAATTTTGGGGGTTTGGGGGAAGGGGAAGGGGCCAGGTTTTGGGGATGGGGAATAGGCTTGGTGGCGAGGGTGGGTATCTGGGAAGGGGGAGGGTGAGTGCAGAGGAGAAAAAGGAGGGAGAAGGAGGGGAATGGGTGGGTGTGCGGGGAGGATGGGTGCAGGGAAGAGAAGGGAGGGAGAAGGAGGGAAGGGTTGGGAGGGGTGAACGCCAGATTTTTTTTTTTTTAATTTTTAATTTTTTTAATATTCATGTGGGCCTATATTAACACGTGTGGGCCTATATATAACACGTGGCGCTTCATTGTCCGACTGTCCCATGCCACGTCAGGTATAAACAGAACATGATCAACTGATTTAACAGCCAGTGACTTTAACGAGATCCAATCACATTATATGTAGACTGTCCAGTGTTAAAATTAAACATTTCAGATATCTGGTCACTGACTATATGGGAAAATCCCCGAAATCTTACAAAGGGACATGAAAAGACTTTCATGTACCAAATGAACAGTTGAAATTGTGCATTTCAAAGTTGAATTTTCGAGGTTTGTAGGTAAAATGAGATGATTACCAACGATATCTTTATACTCTCACTTTACTTGTAGAAACTAGAATGATGATTCTCTCCGGATTCTCTTTGTGAGGATTTCGAGAATCCTCCAATCATTCATATTTATATTGTTTCATAATAAATCGTCGGGCAGTTGTCGTCATTAATTGTTGTTTATTTTAATTAAAATAAAAAAAAAACAATGATTTCTGGTAACGATACGACGAACATATGTAATTGGAGAATCCCCGAAATGCTTACAAAGAGGATCATGATAGGATCCTCATTCCTTACAATCCCAAATGCTCACTACGAAATAGAGTCATTCATAATCCTCTCTCCTTTACATGTGCACCCTTCAACAGGTTTCATGCTGAACTTATTAATAAAATTTCACCTAACAACTGGTAATGCTTTCATTATATAAATTTCAGTAGACTACATGGAGAATTTCATAAAAAGAGAATCACTTTCATAGTAGAGATCTATCCAAAACCTGTACGACGATTTAGAGTTTCACAAGATGTAAAACGTGGTTCAAATTGATCCAAAATGAAGAAAAAAAATGAAATCATATAACTCATGTGGAGCTTCCAAACAACTGATTTCATGATCTATTCATCAAACTAAGTTTTTTTTTTTTTTTCATAACGTATTTGTGCCTTTAGTAGTTAAGTTTTGTTTTGCAATGGAGAGTGGGACTGGGTTTGAGAACTTGAACAAAAAGAATTTTAGGATTTAGATTAGCTGACGTTACAAATGACTTATGGTTAATTCATAATTTTTTTTTTTAGAAAAAACAAATTCTTCTAGGGTTTAAATAAGCATTTCATATTAGAGCATATATGTCATTTAGAATTAAAATTTTAAGTGAGGTATATTAACAAAAATGTGTCTTAGGTTTTATTTCGGGGTCTTATGGCAAATCTCAAATGATTGAATCATGGAAATATTGAAAACAAATTTTAGATTTTTCGAAAAGCAAATTTACATCTCATTTTATATTTTCGAAAGGTGTATATTTTAGTTCTACTCCATTGAAAGAGATGCAAATTTGGGATCTCATTTATTTTTTTCTCTGTAACCGGTGGAATCCACCTCCAAAAGATGTAAAAAATAAATAAATATATGCAAATTGCTTTTTTATTTTCATCTTCCAATTAGGATGGGAGTTTTACATCTCTCCCACTGGAGAGCTTTCCAGCTAACAAAAAAAATGTATAATGCTCATTTCAAGGTATTTTGAATCTTCCATTGGAGATGCTTTTAGTGACACTGACACCCTTTCCGTTTGGTTTTTGTCTCTAAAGACTTTTCAAATTTCAACCCAAAAAAAAGGCATTTTTAAATTTAAAGATGAAATTTCTTAAGTAATCCATTAGTTCTGGAACATTCATTTTGTTATATTTGATATTATTACTCTAAGTTATACTAAAGAGAGGGAGAATTTGAATCCAGAAGGTCCTAGTACTATTTTAAAACTGAATTAATTAGCATTACACCTTCACTAATAAGGGTTTATGGAGCACTCCAAAAATCTCATTTTATACTCCTCACAAGGTTATTTTTCTTTCTAAATATAGAAAGCTTGGAGTGCAAAATGAGAATTTTAGAGTGCCAATAACAATTCCCATAATTTAAGTCATTTTAAATAAGTTAAACTCTTAATAAGCCAAGTCTATCTACACCAACAAGTTGCTTGGTTAAGAATATTCGCTCTTCCACCCGAGGTCCTATATTCAATTCCTCCTCTTTGTAGTTTAGATGAATTTAATATATATTATCCGACCGTTTGTAAAAAAAAATGTCTATCTAAACAAATTCCTACTATATATTACTCCAACCTAAGCATGTCCCACGCAACAAACGCTTACGTAGAGTACTAAATAGTGCAACACCTGTTGCCATTTGACCTCAAAAGCATGGAGTATAGTAAGTAACATGTCTCACGAGTACTTGTTAGTGGAATTTCACTGTTTTGTGGAGGTCAACAATAGATGACAAGTATGCTTAATCACCAAAATATCACGTTGTTACATGGTTTATTTGCGAGCTTAATTACCAAAGTTTGTCGTTTTAAGTTGGTTGCATGGAGAGCATATGCAAGTGCAACCTCCCTCAAGCATAAAAGTGAAGGGGTTGTTTTGTTTTTTGGTTTGCGGAACCGAGTAAAAGTGGACATATAGATGAGTACACAATAATAGAAGAATAGATCTGAAATATAAGTGTGCATACACAGTACAGCACAAGTGACAATAATCACTCGTCACTGATTCACTGGTCACCACAAAAGCTTTCAAAAAGAAAGGAAAAAGGAAAGTGAGAGGGGTTATAATTCCTAAGTCTATCAATTTCTAGGGCTCCTTTTGGATTATTTCTGTAGGGTTCAGGGTTTGTTTAGGGGCACGAAAGAAAGAAATATTTAGAGGGTAATGATGATGAATCTTGGGTGCAAATCTACGTTCTCTATATCGGCATCGACGGTGAAGATATCATTATGATTTTTGTGAAAGAGGGCCTATTTTACTTTATGCAGAGAAAAAGCTTCTCACCTTTCTAATCCCCTTTTGCTATTTACTTTTGTTTATGCCTCACCCAAACCCCGCATCTACCACAAACTTCTCAAATTCCAAACAACCGTATGATATTGTCATCATCTCTTCAATTAGGGTTGGTAATCTTTCAATGCCTTTGAGGTTTTTTTCCTAAGTTTGAAATGTTTGGTGGGCCTTATTCATCGATTTATTGGCATAATACCAGCAATCTGCTGGTTAATTATATATTCCTAGTTATAATTTCAGAATAATGGTTTGTTTGTACTTTATCGTCTTGTTAAACTTAAGATAGAATGATTAACATATGGGTGGTTTTATTGAACACCACACAATTTAGAGTTAAAATATTCATTTTTAACATGAAATCGATTGATTGGAGGCTCCAAGAAATAGTATCATTGATTCAGTTGATATTATTTTAATTACATATAAATTTTAAAGATGTTCATACTACTGAGTTGCACAATCTGACCGAGATACAATTTCGGCTATCTACCAAAAACATGAAAATATTTTGGTACATATATACAAAATTGTATAACTTTTCATCTAGAATAATTTATCCAAATGTTAGGGCAGTAGGTCCACACCGAAAATTGTTCAAAAAGGTTAGTACTATTTAGTAAGTACTTCATGATTCATATAAATCATATCTGACGGTCAGTATCATGTACGAAGATGATTATTAGACAAATGTAGGGATATTTAATTGTTTTATAGTCCATATAGGCGCCTCATATGAAGGAATTATTCAACATTCTAACAAATGCTCACATTTTGGGAATTAGTAATGATGTATTATGTAGCATGCAAGATAAGATTATGGTTACATAATTGCTTGTTTGAAATAACTTCCCAATGCTCGACCTCAAATACTTTGACCTTCAAATCGGCACCTCATGTTAACCGCTTGATAATTATTAGCAGTGCTATTTTGATAAACAAAACAAACACATTTATCGACCCAGTTTATAATATTGGGGAGTCCAAAGTACCTTACATGGATCACTTCTATTATAGAATCAGCTTTGTGTGTCTAAATAGAGATACAATGATATTTCTTATGGTGGTTTGATTTGATCCATGTCCATAATTGAGTTCCCCACCACTGTTTTTTTGCTTCTCCTTCATGCCAAGTCCACCCCTGATATCTCTTATTTTCAGTAATTTTTGATCCATCGCTCTTCATTTCGATATGCTTATATGTTTTTCGCCTACCAAGTCAAATCAGGACTTATACTTGCTTTTACGGGCTTTGGGTTGGTGGAGACTAAATTTGAGCTCACAATTTTTTATATGACGACATGCAATGAGTTCTATGGGAACGCGACTTCCATTCATGATGGCAGCCAAGGTTCACGTTTATGGGTTATATTGGTTTTGGTTATTGTGGGTTGTAAAGGCTTAGTTTTGGGTCTTTGTTAAATATTGTGATCTGCAGTTATATTACTGTACTTAAAGAATCGAGTAAGGCTAAGTCATATTTATGTGTACAAATATTGTATCACCGCTATAATAGTTATAGGACCTATGGGTATAAATATGTCTCGTCTCTCCTAAAGAAGTGATAAAATAATAGTTTATATTTTAACCATGTATAAACCCTTTCTCATTCTAGTGGATTTGAGTGTAGTGGTGGCGTTGGGGCAATTACTTTTCTCGTGAATAATGAACTGACTTCGCTAATCTTTAACCACTCTCCACCTATTGTGAATGGTTAGTAAAATAACTTATTTTATTTTTCATGTGTGATTCAATTATTTAATAGTCATTTAGCGGATGAAATTAATTTAGAATAGGTTCATATATGACTGTGCCATGTGTTATATTTATCAGAAATCTTGTTGAGATTTTCAATTAGATTTCGGTTGCTCTGTTTGCGCTGTGTATCCTTATCTTATATTCAGCCTCATCTTTGAATTGTCCATAAATATCATCATGAAAAATATGATTTGGTATTTATATAGAAAAAAAATATTGAAAATACCGTTGGATTTTGTATAAATATCATCTTTGAATTCATTGAAGTAGATGTTGGTTTGACGGAAAAGAAGAATGTGACTGACGTCAATCAAAACGGACTAAGCTTGGCGCTGGAGCTGCTGCCATTCCGAGGCTCTATACCGCAAAGACTTGGAAAGATGGCAAAAATTGATGGGTGGAAATCTGGTAAGAATAAAGTGGAAATGAGAGAGAAAGAAATGTACATGTAATTTGTGGGAGGGAGACGTTTGATAATTAGGTTAACTTGGTTGATTGCTCGCGTGGGGGCTGACGTGCCTGTGATGTCATAATAATACGTAGAAAAATGAAAAAGGGAATAACATCTATTATCTAGGGTTGGCTTGGAGCTGGCCCTGTGATGTGAAAGTTGGAGACGCGGATAGGAAGGTGGGGTGGGAAACAAACATCATTTCTTTTTGTCTCTGTTTATAAGTCCTCATTATTCCACTCAGATTCACATCCCCTATTTAATTTTTTCTTTTTTAAATCTGAATATTGGTTTCTTTTTTGTATATTTAACTTCAAAATTTGATTTCTTGACAACTTGAAAGAGTTAATCGTTTGATTCCTGAATGAGTTTAATATATTGGTATCACATAATGTAGAATTAGCTTATTTTACACCAATCAGGTTTGAGACAATTTTTAAAATAAGCCACAAGATTATAATTTTCTCACATTACACTTTGAAGTTTTGAAATTGTACATATCTACACATTTTGCCTTTTTGAATATCTAATCTTTTATTCAATTGATGAGTATTTTTGTCAGTGTGATGCGGCTTATTCGGTATACCCCAATTTTGAAAATACACCAAACTTCAACTGTGTGAAATGTAATTAACCCTAAGTAATTTGTCTACACCATTTTTGAAAAATAAAAATTAAATTTCAGAAGAATAATAAACAGGTTTCAAGTCTTAAAAGAGTTTCACCTCTATTTAGCTATTGAAGGTAAAGAAGAATTACTTTTCATTTTGAAGAGGTTAGAAATGGATTAAATATGAAGTAAACTTCTCCATTCTAATCCTAACAGTTTGGGATGATTGGAATTGATAAATTTTCTTCTTGATAATCCATCTCCTACCTTCAAACTGATCATATTTTCAACCTAAGGTGAAAGAAATAAAAAAATTGCGACCAACTTTAAGGTAGAAGATACACAAGAAAAATACTTATCCTTTCCAACCATCCCAAATCGGTAGGACTAGAAAGGAGAAGTTTCATTCATATTTAATCGGGTTTAGGACTCAAATAACCAAATTTCAACCATGTCTTCGTACACATTTACACCAAAGGGAAAACATGTCCAATTAAAAGAAGTATGTTGGGTTTTTGGCTCAAAATTAGGATGATGCAATAAATTAGGTTTGTGTTACCTATTTGGTTTTGGTGTCCTATTTGGGTTTGGTTTTAACTTCTTAGTTAGTTTCCTTAGTGGAGAGATTTTGTTAATTACCTATTTGATTAGCATTTGGATTTATTTCCTATTAGGATTCCTATTGTAACCTAAGTCCTATGCACTATAAATAGGACATTAGGGTTAGGGTATTTTGTGTGGCTTATTCGTGTGACAATTTGGTGAGAGTCAATTTGTGAGTTAGAGAGCAATTTGGAAGAATTTTCTCCGTTAGGTTTGGGTTCTCTACTCGTTTGGTTTAGGGTTTATAATTTTTGGGATTTGGATTGTGAGAGTTTAAACACTCTTTTGTAATCTTCGTTTGTTTAGTGAAATTCCTCGCCGTGCTTCGCCCATGGAGTAGGCTTTACGCCGAACCACGTAAATCTCTTGTGTCAGTTTGAGATTATTTGTTTTAGCTTTCACCTACGACGTTGATATTTGGTACTTTGTTATAATTTGCTTCCGTTTGCGCATAAAAGTACAACAAAGTAAACCCAAAATTACTCAAAGCTGCACGACATGTTAACCAAAAAATAATAATTGCCTATATAAACAACAAACAAAAGAAAGAAGCACAAACATTACACACAAGAGGAAGAATAATTAATCTCTCATATGCCCATCTTAGTCCTAGAGTTCCACTATCCATGAACCAAATAGTATACATAAAGGGAATGATAAAAAAAAAAGTAAAAAAAAAAGAAAAAGTAAGACGTTTCATGTAACCGGAAAAAGAAAAGAAAACCTCAGAGATCCAAAGGCTGCCGGAGCATAAACACACCGGGAACATCAGGCGGAATTTTGTAAAACAATAGAAGCGAACAAACACAAGTTGTCTCTCTTAACCCTTCTGCATTTTTTCTACATATGCCTGCAGCAAATGTGAATACCGATACTGTAAGAAACATTGCCACAAAATTTACTAACTACGTTAAATTTGTAACGGAGTAAACAGATGATAAACAGGATATGACAAAGAGTCAAAGTAGGCAAGGAGACACGGCCTAGTTAAAACAATTCCAAAATTAATATCCACATATTAGACTCCGCGGATTAGAAATTATAAAGTGTAATACCGTATTGGAGCAAGACAATAGAGGGAAAAAGCAAAAAAAAAAAAATCAACTTCAAGTGTACTCGAAGCCTCATCTTATTAGTTTTAAATTTCATAAATACCCCTCTGTGCAGAAGAGTAATTCTTTAAAAGAATGAAGTTCACTGTAATAATAACATAACTAGAACACAAAAGTTTTCCTTAGGCGTAACTCGGAACCAACCATTTCTTAATATGAATAATATATGTTAACTAGAACACAATAGAAACTAGCTACAATGCAAATTCAATGTAAGAAAAGTTTTGGTAAGGATTGCACAAAAACCACCAGAATCGCCACAGGCATAGAAAAATCTAAAAATCTGAGAAATTCCCCATGCAATTTTCCGTGAAATATGTAGACACACTGGACTTTTCTCTGCATACCCAAAGGCGCCCAAGCTTATGTTTAGAGAGCAGGGGGTTTTGAAGGCAGGTAGCGATGGCACACTGGGGGATTAGAGGAATGGATTCAAATTCTTTTTTCAAAGAAAGGAGAGAGGAGATGGAGAAGAGAAGAAGGAGAGGTAAGAGTTGGGAATATCTTTTAAAAATGGTCATGGAAGCTACATGTGACCTTATTTAACAAAAATGGTCAAAATTATACAGAGGTGTCCATTACTAAACAGCAAAAAGTCTTAAATGTGACATCGTCAAGAAACAGAAAAACGGCTCAACCGCACACACCACTAATATTCCCGCTTTGGTTCAAGTGTTATCACCTTTCTACGGACACATCAAAACACAAATAAGAAATCACAGACCCACAATGGTGGGGTAAATAGAATGAAGCTAGAGAAGGAAAAGGAAGGAAAAGATGACCCCAAATGCGTTCAAAAATGGAGCTAATGCGTTCAAAAATGGAGTTTAGTCATATAATAGATATTTCTTTTTTTTATCGAAACCAAATTTTCATTAAGAACAGAGAAAAGGTACAAAGCAATGGACTCATCCACAGGACTAGCAACCTAAAAACAGAAAGAAAAAAAGACACTAACTAAAACTGGATTTCATTTAAGAATAAAAACATACGCCAACAAAGAAGTATTCCTAAACAAAAGAGAGAATGCAGAAGTACTCCTATACAAAAGAGAGAATGCAGAAGTATTCCTAAATAAAAGAGAGAATGCAGCTAGCATAAATTAATCAACAGTATCAGCACTTACCTGTACAAGTTTAGTAAGCTTCGGTTTTGAAAATGATAGATAATGGTCAATCTTCTCTTGTGTCTGGGGAATATTAGCCCCCTGCATGGTACTGGTCACTTTATCAACCACCTTCTTCACTATCGTTTTGTAAGCATCTTTGCTGACTTGACCTTCTTTCCATGAGGGTTTTAAAAGCTCCTTGACGTTTTCCACAAGTGCAAATCTAAATGCACGGCTCCCCTTCACTTCCTTGACTTTCTTGCCCCCTTTGACCTCTATGGGACCATTCTCTGGGGAATTATTCTCTTCCTGCACGCTCTTGCTTTCCTCGGCCCCAAGTGCACCATTTCCCTCGACAACCTCAGACTTTGCACCATGCTGACTTAATTGGTGATCCTTATGTGTAGGTTCTTCCACTGGATTATTAGTCTGATGATAATTGTTTGCATTTGCTCCACTAGGTAAAGACGATAGAGATACAACATTTGACAGGTTCTCTACTTTTCTATCAATGCTTGTGTTTCCAGCACTATTTGGCAAAAGGCACATTTGATTGTTAATAATTCTATGTTCTATGCTATCACACATAGGATCATACGGCTTATGAGATACCACCGTTGGATCGCGCTGAATGGCTGCTGCCAAAAGCTGCTCAGTAGATCTTTCTGATTTGGGAAGGAGAGGTGCATTATGAGAATTTAAAGCAGCATAAATCTGTGGAAGTTGCTGCCGATTTCCAAGTAACTGAGCCAGAGAAGCTGAAAGATTGGTAAGTTGCGTAAGTTCTTTACCACCTACCAAATTTGGAACTTGAGGAATTCCATCAACTAGTGAAGTTTTTGCATCCCCTATATCTGACTTGGTCACAGATTTACTCTCTGGGGACAGTGTATCTTGTGGACTTTTTACAACTCCTCCGCATGGGATTAGTTTTTTACTTTGCCCACTTGTGCTTAATCCTGAAAAAGGAAAAGCACTTGAACTCTGGCCACTGTGGTCAAAGCTTTGGCGGGCCATGATATTTGCAGTAACATTTAGGTTATTACGAAAACTAGAAGGTTCTTCAATGGCAGTCCTATTGTCATATGGCACGGATATAACTCCATCTACCCTTACATCCTTGTTCTGCAGAAAATCAGATCTTTCAGCTACCATTGGTTCAATAATTGAAGCAGCACCATGCACCTGAGTGGAAGGTTCTGAACCTTGAGTAATGCGACTATGCTCTTGTTTCCCAACATGGTTGGAGGATTGCACCGTGTAATTCCAATCAGGAGACATGTCACCAAGCCATTTTTCAGTATCTCTCGATTTAGGAAGATCCACACGAGCACCCACACTACCTTCGTTCCACAGATTTGTATCCTTCTCATTCCTCTCAACTGCTTCATGACTAACACTACGGTCAGCACAATTTTTGTTCTCATTGTTCTTATCACACCCCCATCTATTATCATCTACAGACCAAGCACTAGACCTTACCTCTGGAACACCAATATTTCTGTTATCTACAGTCAACATCGCGGCATCTGACAGAGTCCCGGTATCACTCCATTTTGGACCACTCCATGCTGGGGCTGCATCATTTAAACTGTGACTTGGGCCCCACCGGCCATCCCGTGACATTCTTTCAGGACTTGCACGAGCTTGAATATGATGAGAAAACCGACAATTCTTTTTATTACGACAATTTCCCGCAGCAAAAAATTTGCAAGGAATATCACTACTCCTGTGCAGTACACGCTCAGCACCTCGCTCTGTAGAAATATCTCTGTTCCTTCTTTCATTTTCCCTTTCTCTAGTATTCTCATTTGTAGAACCTTTACTGAATCCATCAGAAGCACGATGGTGATCGAACTTGCAAGATGCCCCCCTCCGGCACTTCCCTTTTGCAAAATCACTACAATACGCAGAATATCTTTCACTTTTTAATGGATAGTACTCGGTGGTATCAGGAGGGGTAGAGTATCTCGAAGCATCACATTTCCTGTGTCGACTTTCCCAGCTATCATCATAATTGGAATTACCCTCATGAAGCATTTGGCAATCACTACCTCTCCTGCATCTCCCAGTCATAAAATCTTTGCACAATTGAGCTGAAATTCCTGGCCTGCCTCTATTTCTGTCGAGGAAAAGTGATTCCCGCCTATAACCACGATCAGGGCTCCTACTCCAGCTCTGGCTCTTACTCCTGCTCCAGCTCTGGCTCTTACTCCTGCTCCTGCTTCTACTTCTACTCCTACCTCTGCACATAACGTCCACCAACAGCTTCTACTGTTATATGCGTCAAAAAATGCTATCTAGATTGTAATAACATAAGAAAAAAGAAAAAAGTGAGTCAGAACTGACAAAGAGTTAAAAAAAAAAGGCTAACCTCAGTGACCTTCTCCAACCACTTTTTGGGGACCGACTGCGATGTTCTCTCCACTCATCAAGACCAGGAGACATCCTTGTGCTGCAATTTCCATCTCCATCCCACACCATAGAGTCATTCATGTATCTCTTGCATCCCTTATTGATACTCTCATTTTTATGTGAGCCTCTGCTTCCGGGCAAAGGTTCCCTGGATGGCATATCCAAATCATGCTTAGGTCTGTGCAGATCATTTGTCTCCGGAGAAAGCCAGTCACGTCCAGATTCCTTATGATGAAATGCCCTACCTGCCTTTCCCATCCAACCGTTGTCCTGCATATTTGCATCTTCAAATTGAGGCCCTTCTACCAAATCCCATTTAGAAGACCGCTTTCTGTTGCTTCTACTCATTTCTCTCGGGCTTACTGACACCCTTTACTTATTCTTATTCAGAAAAATCTGGAGACATGAAAAAATCAATCAATCTCAAAGACATTTTCTGATCACTCTTGCGCTTTCTTAGTATCATTTTAAGTCTACTAGAGTGTATAAAATATTGATGTTACCAAGACAAAAAATACATGTGAAACAATAAAATAGAAAATCAATGAAAAACCAAATTTTATATCACTACCTATGAGCAGGATTAAAAATATATTACCAGTTTCAGCCAATGAAGCACGGATACGGATACGGTGATACAATACAATACGATAGGACACAGCGATATGGAAATAAAATTTATATAATAAATATATATTTTATAAACATATTTTGAATAACAATAAAAAAAATAATCATCTAAATTTAAATTTATATAATTCAAACAACAGGAAGGATGGTAGTGGTGTAGTAGGTCCGGTGGGCAAGGTAGTTTTGTTAGTTTTGGGCTTTAGTCCCATTTAAACCCTTAAAAATAATAAAAATAAAAATAAAGAATATGGCGTGGTTTTTGTCTTCAGAAACAAAGGAAACGGCAGATCGACCTCCCACCAGATCGTGTCATCTTCTTCGCAAGGCCTTCTTCCACCAGATCGTGTCATCTCTGTTGCGAGCCCTTCTTCAGATCGCATCAAAGGGCAAAGCAGGGGATATCCGTATCCAAACCATCGGATACCCGTATCCATCTGTCGAACGCCGTATTCATTGACCCAGATACGTATACAAGGCGTACCCAATACGCAATATGGAACAGAACTGCCGTATCTGTGCGTAGTAGGTTTCAGCGCTAAGTATAATAACAATCTTTTTGTCAAAAAATAGAGGACATCTCTATTAGCACTACAAAAAAGTCATTGCACTCCTCCCTCGACTCTTGCAAAAAGGAATGCAAGTTGACAACTTTGGACACCAATAACTGCTACAATGGAATAAAATCATACTTCAATTAGACTGACCAAAGAGAATATGGATGCAGAAGACAAATACAACTTGTCATGGAGTATATATAAAAAATACACACATATGGTAGAAAAAAATGAAATGTAAGAATAAAAGGTTGTGGAGACTATCCATTTATTCACCCTTTATTTGTAAAACACATTACGTTTGGAGCGGACAGGGACAGTGCCTGTCACTCAGCATGACACATGGCAGGGAGGTCCATACTCGAGATAGAAGTTCTTTCAAATAAATGTGTCTGGTTCTTTTTTTTTTTTTGAGAAGAATAAGAACGTGACACGTAATGGTGATATTCATGCATTGATCAACTATCCCGTGGGAAAAGTTGCAGATTTGTGTCGCAGGTGAAAAGCCCAGTATAGTTAGTCCCAAAAAAGAAAAGCCATGTGCACGCACACACCCCTCTAGCAAAATGACCAAGAATATTTAACGTACCCATAATTGATTATTCTGGGCATCTTGCAGTGACATGTTGTGGATACATCACTGATTCTGCTGTCGTCCACTGCAACCTCTGTTGGCATCCAACTTACACGTATCAAATATCATAAGTGGTGCCTTCCCTTACTTAAACTACCCAAGCATTCATCTTCATAATAACTGGAATATCATATGTCATAACCCTCATGTTTTTTATAACAGTAATCTGTTTTGTTTCTATACTTAAATTGGTGTATCCAAACATCCAATGAACAAGCAATATGATGTGAAGTTTATTGTTAAATGTTGAAGCATCAAACACATTGTGAGAATCGATTTACAATCACCATTCAATATTGCTATGCATTTGGTCTGATTCACATTGTTAACAGATACAAGGAAAGACACACATAAAAGACAATTTTTCCACAAACAGAATGCCTTGTGTCTAGTTCCTGCCTATCATCTCGGGTCCTGTGTTTGGGAAAAAAATTAAATTCCTTCAACTGCATTTGAAGATGAAGTAAACTACAATCTGGTGGACTTGATCAACATATACTTCCAACAAAAGAGGGGTTGAAGTAAACGACCATATGCCTAAGGTGACTTCACACCTCAAGCAAGCTTCAAAAACAGTTTTCCAGAGACTGAATTTCAAGTTAAGGGATTGGAGAGAACTTTTTCTGGCTTCTTGCGTGGTATATTAATTCTCCTTTTCAAAGATGATTTCATAGTTTCATAAACATCAAATCCTATCCCACAGAATTGATTGGCATACATGAGTGAAAGCTACCATCAGCTGAAGTTATAGGCTGAATGAAATGGTCAACGGGAAGATAAAACAGCCTAGAGTTTTGTTTTAATGAAGTAAGCCTTTTTCCTATGTCTTATATATTGGGGGTAACACAAATTGCATGGAGTAACCTCCAACAAAGAAGTCAGAGAGACACTAAGGAAAAACCATTCAATATTTGGGGTAACATCAAATTTTGGAACATAACAATTTTCAAAGCCCTTTACAACCCCGACGACCATACAGAAAATCAGGAGTGACACTTTACTTGAAGATCCTTTTGGTGAAATAGCTGAACTGAAATGACTTATTGGCATGAATCTGAGACAAGATCCCATCGTTTCAAATCACAGTTCTATCAATTGGATGAAGATTAATTAGACTGGTGACCACTGGGTTAAATACAGGCTACAATAAAAATATATCTTTCTACAGAACAGAACATTAATATACCACACTGAACAGCAATGACAGACAATCCACTTTACATTTGCAAGAGGCTGATTTGGACATATAAGCTCATGTACGAAATAGGAATATTTGTTGTTATTGAATGATATCATTAGCCATGACACTGACCTTAATATTTTTGAGACTTCAAATAAAAACACCCCGAATTTTTCAAACAATGTGAAATTTCTCACCTGACCCCAGTTACCATGTTGTAACATCTAGATACAAAAAACACCTAGTCTTACAACAGGGAAGAACAATCAGCAATTTCCTAAGCCCCAAGCCAAATTGATGGCCACCACAAGGGAATGAAGATACACTCAAGTCTGTCTCCAAACAAGTCAATAAATTTCAACAACTAGCCATATCCTCAACTTCAAGCACACAAACTCTCGCCTTTGCATGGCTTTTGAATCGTTGCATGCAGGCATAATATCTCTCTGCTCTCCAGCCTCAATCAAGGATCTTTCAGGCTCCTCCCCTCACTTCATCATAACACCGATTAACATTTAGCATCAGGGGCATCAAAGCTGAAGGTTGATGTATTCTCTTCTAACTTCATGGACTATGAAGTAATTCTATTTTGTTATCCCCAAACCTTTCAGAGCAACCTCCAGTCTAAGAATTTATCAAATAATATGTACTAAGTCCCAATGTAGCTCTTTGGTAAGGAGCTATTGCAATCAGTTACTTTTGTACGAAATTGGTAATCCCTCCATGCAGTGACCCCCATGAAATTACTGCAGAAAATTATACTAGATATTAGCACCCAGTAAATGTACTCTCTTATTGAGTAACATAGATCTAAAGTATACACTAGATCCATCTATCAAGGTGCCTAGGCTACTAGAATAAGTTTACGGATGTACAAAACAATGAAAGAGCAAGGAAACAAACAAACAAAAAGAATCAGAATGAAAATAAATCATCCATAACAAGGTGATAGCCAGATATTAGAAAGGTTTCAAAGAAAGTAAGCCACCCTACATTCCTACCTGCTACCGTTCAAAAGACCTCAACTTCTCTCCTTCAACTTTACCAAGACAATATTCCCTTGGAATATCACATCTCTACCTATCCATATATCATTTGACGGTTTGACCCAACATAAAATTTAAACATACAAAGATCGCCACCTACATTATTTACCTTTTAAAGACAATAATATTAGACTAAGATCATATATATCCGAACTAGTTGAAACTAACTTATTGTTAGGCCAATCTACATCTCAATAAAATTTAAACGAAAAAAATAAAAATAAAAACTGACTCGGGAACTTGTTCGAAGTCAGGACACCAATTGGGCCACACCAATTACCAAGAATACACAGTCAAGCAACTACAAGAACTTCAAATCACACTCACAAAGTTAAAGCAGTAGAATTAATCCGAGGCATAAAAGCTCAAATCTTTCTACTATACAACAAAACCCAACTCAAATTCTCTATTACCCACAAAACACAGTAAGATTCTCACTGATCCAAGTTAAAAAAATAAAAAAATAAAAAATAAACACACACACAAAGAGCTGAAAAAAAAATGTAAACCTAAACCCTAATCATCGAATTGAAAGAAAAACAAAAGCAAAATTTTTTTTAAAAAGTAAACTAATACGAAACCCTAAATAAGGAATTGAAGAGCAAAGAGAGAAAGAACTTACAGAAATTAGAGAGAAACCCTAGAGTGCGATGGGAGACCTCCGCCGCCTGTAGGACTTTGCCATACTTGAATCACTTTCTTTGTCAAAAGAGGGGTGTGAGAGTACGCTGGGTAGAGGAAAGGGAGCTGGGGAGAATGAGAGGAGCATTTTACTGTGGGCCCGCTTAAAGAGGAGATTTTTTTCTTGGGCTTTTTACCAACAAGTCCAATATGGAGCCCAACAAAACAAAGCGGCCCACATATTCAGAGATTGGATAAGTAAGTTGAAAAATTAATTACTTGTCAGAAAGTTAGAATGGTTTCTCCATTCAACAATGCAAGTGTTGTCGATTGAAATCAGCAACTCAGTTCACTTGCTCAAAGGGTGGATGCGAATGGTAAATTGAATGACATTAACGCGAGTACCAAATAGAGAGGGGAATGCACCATTTAAGGCATTCCAAATCAACACACAACTGCCCTGCGCAAACCTCTCAAAGACCTTGATTTTTATTTTCCTTTTTCCCGCCAACACACATTCAGTTTGGATAAACAACACTATGAAGGCAACCGGCAACATCTTCAGTTTAGATAAACAGCACTAGAGCTGTAGAATCAGCCGACCGAGAAGCTCATTTAGTTTGAATAAACAGCACTGCTTCGAGACCGACTAGTTATTTATCCAAGTTCCCGATCAACAAGGATTTCTGAGTCCTTGTTGGAAGAGTCATCTCATTAGCCTTCTCGCGCGAAGTGAAGTATTACCAGGCTACTACATTTGACACACTGAAAGATGAATTTGATATTGAACCTCGCAGAATTAGCAACCTTGTCTTCAGGCTCTAGAACCTGAAGGTCGCAGTCACAAGATCAAGAAGTTAGCAGCACACCTAACGCCACATCAACACTCATTTTACTCCCTGGCCAAGCTCGGCCGACGAGTTGGCACGTCCAACATTCGACCGAAAAACGTTGTTAGCTCATTCATTACTCCGTCTGCGCACCACATAGGGTAAGTGGTTTTTAGGGTTAACAAATACGCATTTGCAACAGTAGAATTTTCTCTTACAAGTATGGAATATGCATTTTCGAGAAAGATATTCCTTTTGCAAAAGTGGGATAAGTTTTTGCGACAGCAAATAATGACACTATTGTTGTCCTAAGTTTTCGTTTTACTAATATATGCACGTTATCACAAATGTGAGTGTGACCGTTGGGTCCAAAGCTAAATTATTTAGGTTTAGGTCTCACCATTGGATTGCTTGGGTTTAAACCCAAATATTTTGATTTGGGTCTTCCGGAGTTGGTCTTGCATCCATCGGTTCATCCACACCCCAAGTAACAACCATATATCCATTAAGAAAGTCAAATTTAATGACTATCCAAGTTCAACCACTCTTCCCATTCAACGATAATATTAAAAGAAATTACTGATAATAAGTGTTATAATATTGCACCCAAAGACGAATACTGAAATCTAAATGCGCAAATAATATCTAAGTCCAAATAATATATATATACACACACAGACCCTTTAAGGGAAGAAATCCCCACTTTTTAAAAAAAAATGAGGACACCCTCTTAACCATTAGATTTGGTTTTAATGAAATTCTGTGGTTGAGATTAAATCACAGGCCACAGAATCTCAACCATAAAATTTCATTAAAGCCAAATCTAACGGTCAAGAGAATGTCCTCATTTAAAAAAAAAAAAATGGAGATCCCTTCCCTTAAAGGCTTCGAATATATGGTTGCTTAGTGTTGTCATAATCTAAAATTATATTAATAGAACTCTGGTTGTCAACTAAATCTCTATGAAATTACCACTTTAACACTCTAATTAAAACTGAAGAGAAATAAAAAATATGAGTAATTCAGTAATTACAAGACCACAAATTTTATTGTTTTTTATGTGAACCTCACAATCAGATAATAATAATAGACTCTATTTAAAAAGAGAATTGTTATTAGCACTTCAAAAATCTCATTTAGCACTCCAAACTTTCTATAATTAGAAAGAAAAATACATTTGTGAAGAGTGTGAAAGAGATTTTTGGAGTGCTAATAACCATTCCCTTCAAAAATTCAAAATTAAATTAAAAAATTGGCACACGTCCTTCTCTCTCATCAAATCTCTTTGGCTTCCCTATGCATCTTTCTCACCAAAATCCTCTTCAACCATTCTAACCACCCCACCTCTTTCATCCCCTTCTCCCACCCTGCGTGCTTGCCTCTAACCCACTTGCAAATTATGTAGGCTCTTCCTCTCCTCCAAAACCCTAATCGCCCTCTGCCAGACCCACCACCCAACAACTTCTCCCACATCCTCTACGTTTTCCACCATGCCCATCTGTCGCCACCCCTTGCTTCTTTGACACACGAATCCTAGACTGGAGCCCCTCCCACCATGAATGGGCATCCAATGTTATGAAGGTATGAGCCTCATTATTTAGTTTCTGCATCTTATGCGAGGTTAAGGTCGTACCCAGTGCACAAGGCTCCCGTTTTATGCAGGGTCTGGGAGAGGTGAATGTCGGCTAGCCTTACCCCCATTTATGGAGAGGCTGCTCCCAAGTCTCGAACCCGGCGAGGTTGGAGGAAGAAATTTTTAAGCATTAAAAATCTCTTGCAATTCGTTAGATGTGTCATCGAAATACATATATTAATCATAATTTATCACTCCTCAATTACTTATTTTGTTGCATTTGATTGTTTTTACTCTTTGTTGCAGGGCTTGGTTTCATCCAAGTAGAGTTCCATATTATACAACTTTTGGGAGATGTACTGCAGTTAGTGATGATTTTAGTGTTTCATGTAACAATATTTTTACAAATTATTATAAATTTTGAAAGTATTGCCTAACTCATAAGTTTGGTTTTATTTCACTAATGTTAGTAATTGTTTTTCATAAGTTCATGTAACACATACTACATTGAAAATAATTTTTTTTTCGAAATGACGTATACATTGCACATTGATTATAACTCATACCACAACAAAAAAAATTTGAGTTGCACATGTATAGCGTGTGTGCCGATTGCTAGCCTAAATTAATCTGTGTTAAAATCTTTAGAGTTCATAATTTGAATTGTACTCTCCATCACCAACGAGTTCCCCAAATATCTCCTGATAACTTGTTGCAGCATGAACCCAAGGCATTCCATACCTATGTATTTTAGAATACAAGTAAATCCAATTAAGTCAAAGTTCCTCATTCAACTATACACGGGTAGATGAGTCTGAATTACTCCTATTTGACTTAAAAAATAATTTTCATCTTGTAGTACGAATTGCTTAATCACTAGCTCCTCCATCTTGTCTTTAAATTTCTGCTCTTTCCCTTTCACATTTTGGTTGATTATCTCTTCGAGCATAAATGAATTTGAGCAGGACGAGCCTACCTGTTGTTGGCATGTATCAATGTACCAAAGATATTCAATGTATGATAGCGTATGTTAATGTTCCTAAAATAGGATTAAATGTACTAGATATCCTTGTACTTCTATATATACTTTCTCATTGAGAGAAGAATACAAACAACAATTCAAACTGTAAAACTCTCATATAGTTTTATGCTTTTATCTTAGCATCAGAGCAAATTTCTACCTATTTCTTCCCTAGGGAAAAAAGAACGCCTAAACCCAAAAAACCTATTCTTGCCGTGTAGCTTCCTTGGTTGCTAGTGTTAAGGATACAATAGGACCACCAACTAAGTCTATATCTGATTAAAAGATTTCTTATCTGTTAAGATATAGTTGGTAGAGTAGGTGGTTGTATCTATATATATTGTATTGTACATATTCTGAAAGTGTAATGAAATCATTCTATTTCAATCATCTCTCTCTCTAGAATTCTTTCTCTCTCTACCTCTAATTGTTCTCTCACAGAATCATGAGTTTCTACATGGTATCTTCGCCGTTGTCTAACGACCTAGATCCACCACTTCCGTCTTCTTGAATTTTCTCACCTCTTTCTCTTCTCCCAAACAGATCTTCTCTGCCCTAATTTCTTCAATTTCTTGAATTTTTCTTCTCTAATCTTCTGGATGGCTGCAAACTCTTCCTCTCCGACTGCTTCGTCTGGTTCTCGTGTCGAAGTTCCAAATCCATCAGCTCAATCTCTCTCTTCGATTACCGTTCAGAACATTACTGGTATGATGGCGACGAAACTCACTCGTCACAATTACATCACCTGATGCAGTCTCTTCCTCCCTGTTCTGAAGCAATTCAAGCTTTTAGGGCTTGTTAATGGCACTGATGTGTGTCCTACTCCGTTTGTGCTTGATTCTTCCGGATCTCAAATTCCTAATCCAGTGTATGAGACTTGGTGTGAACGAGATCAACTCTTGATGATTTGCATAAATTCGACTTTATCTGAAGATCTACTTCCTTTAACGGTTGGCATGGATGATTCCAAATCTCTCTGGCAATCTCTCGAGCATCGTTTTCTGGTGCTTCTCGCACTCATATTCACATCTTACGCTCGAAGATCCAAACTATTCAGAAAGGTGACTCTTCAATGACAGATTACCTCAACTCTCTCAAGGAGATCTCTAACAAACTTGCAGCGGCTGGCGATCCGATTTCTGAATCCGATCTTGTTGCCTACATACTTTCTGGCCTCTCTAATGAGTATGATTCATTCGTTGACTCTATTGAAACAAGAACTGAAGCTATCAACACTGATGAACTCCACGGATTACTTCTTAGTAAGGAAATTTCTCTTCAGAAACGAAAGACCAGAGCTTCCTCTTCATCATCTGTTCTGTTTCACCCTTATACGGCTCAACAAGGATCTTCTGGTGTCAACTCTTACAGAGGTAATTCTCGAGGTCACTTTCAGAATCGTAATCGCTATCATAACAATCGTACATTTGGAGGCAATCGTCCTACTTATAACACCTCTAGTGGTCTTCTTGGCTCGGGTCCAAATTCAAGATCTATAGGATTTGGTCAACACAATAATACCTCTTACTCTGGAAGGTTTCTTCAGTGTCAGTTATGCCTCAAATCTGGTCATGAAGCTCTCAATTGTGAGAAGCTCTCTCAGTTTGCCTCTCAATGATCACATACTAGACCTCCTCTTGGTATGACCGCTGCTACTTCTCTTCCACTAAGCTATTGGCTAACTGATAGTGGTGCATCTCATCATGTGACTCCGGATCTAGC